ACATCCTGAGAGCTGGAGGCCGGGCCTCTCCTTGGAGCGTGTGAGTAAGACACACTGGCAGGCAGCGAGAGGGAGTAACTGGGAAAACGGGAAAGCGGTCAGGGCCTTCCTGGATCAGGGAAAGGCCAGGAAGTGGGGAAACAGAGCCCTGCAGGGGCCGAGGAACTTCTGCTGGGGCTGCCCAGGGTGGGTCACGGAACCTCAGCGGCCCCCGCTCCCCGCCAGAGCCTCTGAAAGAGGGTGAACAGCGAGCCCCTAGCCGAGCTGGGAAATGAACCACCTTCCTGCTGGATCTCCCCAGAGGGGCCTTTCCAGACTGTCCACCATGTCCCCCACCTCGGTGACCCGCCTGTTATCACCTTACCCTGAACAGCGTCCAAAACCATCTTTCTTGTGTATTTATTTGTTTTTTTCTGTCTTCCGCATGAACACGTGGGCTCCTGGAAACTCGGGAGGTAGGTGCTGGGTCTGATGTTTTTTCTCAATGAGTCTCCTGTGCCAAGCACGGTGCCTGGCACCTTCGCAAGTGACTGAATGGCTCCTGAAGGCGGGGTTGCCTTCTAACCAGTCAGGGAGCTGTATTTGTCAACTTTCCATCCTGAGGAGGTGTTGTCCTCAGCCTGTGGACAGGAGCTGGATTTATTTGGGGGGTAACGAAATTCATTCTCCCTGGCTTTGTATCTTTTCCAGCCCACAGTGTAGGATCTGCTAAATATTAGTGGTCTTTACATTTTCTTTATGTGACCTATACCACTTGTCACTGTTTAATGTAATCTTATGTCATTTAAAGAAGGTTAAATTGTGGGGTAACTAGAAAGCAAAAATAATATAATTTTAAGCACGATCATTTAGGGGCAGATTTTCCCCTAAAACTTGGTTAAAATAAATTTGAGGAAGACTCGGTTCAATTCATTCAACAAATTTGACTTAGTGACAGATCCAACGTAGTCTGTTGTATTTAATAAGAATTCAGCCCATAAAGGAAAATTTAATGGCATTAATGGAATTACCTTTATGTATTAATAGAATTAAAGGAGTCTTAACTCTAAAAGCAAATGTTCTCTAAACGTAAATATTTTATACTCAAGAAGAAAAGCAGCTGAAAAGAAAAGCTTGTCAAAAGTGACAGTTCTATCTGATAATGATATCCATATCTGGAGATACTATGAAAATTATGATATTCAGTGGACAAATTAGTACTCATTCTTCCCAAGATCTGAGTTCATTACTTATTTCTCTATAATTATAATGAAATGTCTCCATTTTTTGCTAGCGTTATCCCAGATCCCTCCAGGCAGCTGGGTGGTAGGGTATGTCAACCTAAATTTCTGGAAATGACTTGTCTCCTGTTCAGCATTAGAAACCACATGTTAGAATTTGTAGTTCGCCACAGAGGAGGAAATGAATTCATTCACAGAAGACTTATTTTTGAGCACCTACGCAGGTGATGCCGCAACCAACCAGACAGGAGCAGCCCCAGCCTTTCCGGAACCCACAGCCCTACTACAAAAAAATGTTACCCCATCATTTGAAGGGAGTGGCAAACAATTATGTAATTTGAATTGCATTTTGACTCCCTCCCTGCTTTTTTAATAGAAAGTGGAAAATAGAAATCTCGTGCAAAAGGTCTTGGCTTGAAAGTAATGTGCTTGGAGAGAGGGAACAGGGAATCCAACACCACAGCCTACAGATTTTTGGAGAATTGGGGGGGGCGGGGAGTTGGCGGGGGTGGAGCCTGCCACAGCCCTATCGGAGAGCCTGTGGGATGTGCACCGACCCTACAAGGGTCGGAGGTTCTGACCAGCTCCCTTCAGTGACTACAGGCACCCTGCTTCACTGGAGATTTGGGTCAAGAGAGGAAGGATCCGGCGGGATCAGCAGAACCTACCTGAGAGGAAAGGAGAGACAGAGGTCAGCTCCATCGTAGACTTTACAGATCAGGGACAGGCTTGCTACCTGCAGGGTTCTTTCATACCTTGGACTTTCTCTCAAGGAGAAGACATTTGAGTGTTTGCCCTATTTTTATCATTTTATCCTACGCTACAAGTCAGGCTAACTGGTTTAAGGTAGTAGGAAGAACTACACACAGTAAAATCATACATTGAATGGTACAATATCATACATTTATAGCAGCCCCGTTTTGATGAATAAAATTTATTTTAAAAACCCTTTTATAAAAAATTGAAAGACTGCTTTGTATTGGATGAAAACTTTGATTTCAACCCTAATTTTGATCAGTTTTATCATGAATACATTTTGCTAGTTTATTCCTTAAAAATCTTTCTCAGGCTTTTTCCTCTTAACTCTCTAACGTGATAGCAGATGGGTTTTATTTTATGTTTTTAACTAAAATTGGATCCTGGGAAAGAATCTGGAGTAGATGATAAGAAGACTGTCATCTGACAGTTTCTATTACTTACCTAACTGCCTTCCTCCCTGGAATTAAAGGTACCAGAAACATTATGGAGACCCACATTCCCCATCCTTGGGAGGAAAAATAAGAGTTCTAGGAATTCTTTAGTTTTTCCAAAAATTAGTGGAAGCTACTCCCTGTAAGTCTATTGCAGTGAAACTACATGTTGCCTGTCTCTAGGAAAAAATGGTTCCAGAGTTCCTTTCCCTGGAATGTGGCTCCAAAGAGACTGTTCATTTCAAAGACGGTGCTTTGACTGGGTGCTCAGTAGGTCCCCCTATAACAATTCCTATAAGGACAAACTGTAGACAAAGTTCCCTAGAACAGGCCCTCCATACCCAGTTACACGGGAGCTCCTGCGTGAGCCTGGGGCCGGTTACCTGCTGGCCGTGCTGGCTGCCATCCCTGGCCCAAGGGTCCGCTGACTTGCCAAAGAGGGACCAGAACGTCAGACTCACAATATCACAGGCTCCTGGACAAGTCCACTTATTTATCATCTGCTTTACTCTTGGTCTCTCTTGTTCTACAGATTTAAATAAAAAGAAGTAAAGTTACATATTAAACTCTGACCTCAGCCTTTATTTTTTTGTCATCCTTTCCTTCTATTTGATGATGGAGGCATGAAAGCTAGTAAAGATATATTTTCAAGTTAACTTGTTTGCACTAGCAGTTTCCTAATAATTTGACCATTTTAAAAAAGAGCTATTTATAATAAAACAAAATAAAAATGTCTATGATTTTTAAGTGAGGTTTTAAAAATTATTATTGGTGGCAGTGGCGTGGCAGCAACATGGCCATTGTCTGAGGCCGACTGTCATGAGTTCCATCTCCACCTACTGAACGGCAAGCAGCTCTCTCTGAAAAGACCGAGAAGCGCTGCTTGAGAAGCTACTGGGGAGAAGCTGTTGGGCCACTGCTGCAGGGCCTGCAGAGGCCCAGGGACCACTTCCTCGACGGGTACACCGTCTTCTGCTTGGGCCTCGGCTTGCCGCCTTGAAACTTCTTTATCACTGCCCGGGAGTCCTAGATATTCCAACTCAGCAACTGCTCCAGCCCAGCCACAGGGGAGGAACCTAATGGCTCGGACATCCTGGTTACTAGAAGCCAATGAATACAGTTCCCCGGGCTCTACGGTAGGACCTTGCTGTTTATCTGTTTTGTACATAGTAGTTTGTATCTGCTGATTCCAAACTCCCAATTTACACCCCTCCCGTCTTCCCCTCCTGGTAACCATCGTTTTTTCTTCTGCTTCTGTGAGTCTCATTTTGTAAATAAGTTTGTTTGTGTCATTATTTTTAAATTCCACATATAAGTGGTATCATATGAAAAAAATTTTCTAGAAAAGCAAGAAAGCGCTAATGCTTTTGTAAAATTTTCAAAGTTTTTTTCACCCATTCCAGTTGATCTTCACGTTCTCTTTTTGCAGTCCTGCAATTACTTGCATGTAAAAGGTCTTCTTGTTAATCTTCAACCTGAAAGGTAGTAAAATAACAGAAGCATAAAGGGGAACTGGACATTTCAACCCAACGGCTCTCCAGGTTTTTCAGGCTTTTCATCTGCTCCCTTTTGAAGGTTTACCCCTTTCACAATTTCCCCCACTGCTATAGGCTTGAACCTTTTATAAAATCTTAGAAATCATGACCCTACTCTATGTCCCTTATATGTAATATTGTCTCAATCACCTTTTAAAAATTTATTACACTTGGATGAAAATTTGCTGAAGGCAGCTTGATTAAAACTAACCAAATTCATCATTTCACTTCAAAAACTTAAAAACTGACTTCAAAGTCAGACTTTTCACTTTGAGGAATATATTTATGACCTAACAAAATTATCCTAGACACAAAAGTATGGGTGTAAGGAAAGGTTAGTCATTCATAATAGTAAAAAACATCAGAAACTACACAGGTGAATACTATGCAGGCAGTAAAAATGATGCAGT